AGCTTGGGTTTCCTGTTTGTTCTGGAAGGGGAAATGGGTGGGAACATGTGTTCAGAGCTAATACTGCCCTTTGTAGGCTGCCGAATGACATAAACACACGGGACTTGGATGGCTCAACTCAGGGCTTCCAATTGTTTCTCATCATTCAAAAGGTGCAGAACTCATGGGTGATTCGCAGCTTCTTTTATAAGGGACGTTCCTTTTTTTGGACCCTAATGTGTCTGCATTCTGCTCTCTTCCCCCAACACACACACAGAGTGTCTCTTGATTTTTTTATTATATTTGCATTTCACAACACAAAATCCTGAAATCACAAAAGTGCTAGCAAGTGGTGTTACCTCACACATTTATTGGCTTCTGATGTATTATTTTGTCCCTTCTTTGGGAGTCTATTGGTTCTACTTTTGCATATTGGCAGGGTGAGATGAAGCTGTTTGGGGGAATTGGATAATATCCAAATGAACAAGAACCAGGAGTGAACATTTCAAAAGTGCCTTAGGAGCTAAGGGCTGGATTTTCAAAGGTATTTAGGTGCCAGAGGATGCAGAAAGGCACCTAGTGGAGTTTTGGGAAGTGCTCCAGCAGGGTAGCCACCCAACTCCCATTGATTTCCAATCCCTCTTTGCACCTTTAGGTACCTAAATAGCTATGGAAATATAGCCCTCAGTCACTTATGAAAATATAACTTTGGTGCCTAAGTCCCTTAGGCTTTGCTATGACCTGAGTTAAAGAGCCTCCATTGTCTACGTGCTCTCTCTGAGGAGTCTCCATGGTATCCAGTTCCTGGGAAAGTCCTTGGGAGTGTGGATTCCCTTTAGTAGACCATCAGTGCATCTGGCTCCTCCTTTGCAGCATCTGAAAGGCTGGTTGTGGGTGTTCCCAATAAGGCAGCCCTCCCCAGAAACCTTCTGGAAAGAATTGCAGAGAACCTCCATGAAAGTTTCCATGGAGGATTCCTGGGCCATCCCTGTGCACATAAACATCCTTTTTGGGGGAGAACCCTCTGCATAGTTGGGGCAGCCACGGGGAATCAGCTACCCACTGCACCTCACTTTTCCTTCATATTAAACATAAAATATAAGAGCATGTAACCCCTACAGTTTCATTGGAATTGCATCCCCACCAGAGGTGCCTTCCCCGGCATCACGCCTGACCACGATGCTGTTCTGGGAATGGCTGAACTGCTCTGGGGTTAAAAGTAGCTCCTGGCTCTCAGGAAGAATGGATCCCCTGCTCGCCTGCCTTCCATTCTCCTCCTCCTGCTCTTTGTCCACAGTGTCCTCCTCGTTGTTGCCGGAGGTGGCCCAGGGCTCCTGGGAGGTAGCCATGCTGCATTTTGGGGGTAGCGCTGGGGTCGCCGCTGAGAATCGCACGCAGCTCGTTGTTGAACCAGAATGATTGTTTGCCTCCCTTGTCTTCTGATACCCCTGCCTGCTGAAGTGCTTTGGTTTTCACACGGCACTGTTGCATGTCCCGGGTGTAGCCTGTGTCCCCCATGCCCCACGCGATCTTTACGTAGGTGTTGACATTTCTTTGGCTGGATGGGAGCTCTGCCTCCACAGACTCTTCTTCCCACACGGCAATAAGATCCACCGCCTCCTGTGTACTCCACGCTGGGGCACATTTGGGGCATTGAGTCACCACGCTCAGCTAAGCTGTCGACCCATCAACATCAAATTAATTAAGTAATTAAGTCAATGCTACAGGCGGGTTAGGTTGGCGGAAGGGACCTCCTACTGTAGACGCAAAGGCGGCTTCCTTTGACCTAACTTTGTCGTGTAGACCAGGCCTTAATTAATTAATACAACTGGAGCTTCATCGCCGCTCATCAGCAGGTCTGCACTGCCCTAGCGAGATGGCCCAGAGGGCAGCTCACAGTCTGGCCTGGGATCCAGGCCACTGGTGGGTGGGTGTGTTACTGGCCGACGATGGGGCCCAGCTCTTGTCGGGACGGAAAAGGGAATGGAGCCAGAGATCAGGGCGACAACATAGAGTCCAGAGAGAGACAGTCAGTATGTGAGGGTGAAGAAACGAGGGGCTAGGGGCAGCAGGGATGGGCAGGAGGGGTCTGGGACAGTAAAAGGGGCAGTGACATGGGGGGATGATTTGGGGCAGGTGGGGGGGATGGATTGTTTTTACATGTGGCAATTTGCACCCCTCCCCGGGAGCAGGTCAGGGTTAGGAGTAAGGGAAGGAATGCTGGTGGGTTGGAAGTCAGGCCCCCACGCTCTGTCAAATGACAGGACCCCTTGTTCAAGGAGACTCTGAAGAGCCAGAGGGGAAGCTGTGGCCGGGGCTTCACAGAGCAGGGAGCTCCTGCCTGGGATGCTTCACTCTGAGGAGGGGTGTTTGAATGGAGATACTCCTGTGTGTGGTGTTCGGTGAGGAGCCCTGAAGAAGGGAAACTGAGACAGGGTGCTGTGGAGCTGCTATGCCCACAAGGGGGCGCTCAGTGGGCAGCTGGACTGGTTACCTGGAGGTTCTGGGGTGCAAGGAGAGAGCACAGAAGTTGCAGAGGGGAGTTTTGGTGGTGTTTTGGTCGCAAGGCGAGGTGAATGTGTGAGCAGCCACGTCCCCTGTTCTCTTACTGCGTTCACCACCAGCTGCAGGTAACTTCCAGACGGTGCTTGTGCAAAGCTGAAGCACTGGCCTGGCTTGGTCAGTGTTGCTGACTACTTGCCAGGCGGGGTGTGACCCCGATAACAAAACACCTGCACTTTGCTCCTGCCTCGTCACAGAAGAAAGCTGGGAGCTGCTGTGGCTGCAAGGCGGAGGAAGCTTTGAGGTAGCTGGGGCGGGGAGGGCGTTGAGGGGCGGGGAAGGGGGGGCACAAGGGGAATGATGGGGAGCCCTGGAGGGCCCCTGAGGGGCCAGGTGGGGCAAGGCAGAGTTGTGGAGCTCTGAGGTACCGAGCGGGGCAATTATAGGGCGGGGGGAAGATACCAAGGAACTAGGGAGATTCTCAGTTACACTAAATCCCCTTCATGCCGCCCGAGTGGTGAGATGAAGCTTAACTGAGATTTCGGACCCCGCATTCCTCTCCACAAAACCCAAAGGCTGTTTCTGTCATTTACAAGGCCCGAAAACGAGGCATTAAAGAATGTGAGAAATCTCTCACCCGCCACAGAATACACATAAAAATACAACCACCAGTTTGGGCTGTTTAATCTCCCAGAGATTTAAACCCTGGAGCTGGACTGGAACCAGCGCTGTGGAGGAGAAAGGCCCATAGCGAGGCCTGGCAGAATTTGTATTTTTATTTGATATCAATGTTTGGTTTTAAGCATATGTTTTATTTGTATTGATTTCAGTTTTCTCAGTTGTGCACAATTATGGGCTTTAAGCATGTTTATTGATTTAAATGTTCACAGTTGCGGGAAGCCAGGGAAGGTCAGACAATCATAGAATCATAGAATCATAGAATATAAGGGTTGGAAGGGACCCCAGAAGGCCACCCAGTTCAACCCCCCGCTCGAAGCAGGACCAATTCCCAGTTAAATCATCCCAGCCAGGGCTTTGTCAAGCCTGACCTTAAAAACCTCTAAGGAAGGAGATTCTACCACCTCCCTAGGTAACGCATTCCAGTGTTTCACCACCCTCTTAGTGAAAAAGTTTTTCCTAATATCCAATCTAAACCTTCAATCGGGGGGGTCAGACAAGAATGACAGTAGACATTGAGACTCAGAAGAAGTTGAAACTTTGCAGCTTTTAAAACACAAACTGTCAACGTCGCATGTCAAAACTTTGACCTTAAATCGAATTCTAATCAGCTCTGAAGCAGCATTTCCCGTACTTGGCTGATCTGTCAGTTTCAGTTATCGATGGGAATATTTTCCATTCCCAGCTCCCGTGAGCCAGCCAACGCCCTGGAGAACACAACGCAAACAGGAGCACGTTCTCTTGGCCCTTCCTCCTATGACAGTGGGCCAGCACCCGCAGCTCTGCTCAGTTAAGATTTAGACCACCTTTCGGTATCTTCTAAGTGCTCTAAAGTCTGCATAGTTAATTAGATCGCCTTGATCCAGGGTGTGCCTCATGGCTAGGGTTACTGATCCAAATGTGGGGTCATTTAAGCCAGGGATTCCCAAAATCCAGTGCTTTCCCTCTTCTCCCCCCCCCCCCCCCAAAATCCTTTTCTTAAGGATCACGGGTTCTACCAATGATTATTTGGTGCCAGACCTGATGAACTCTGTGAAGTTTGCAAGCTTGTGTCTCTTCCACCCAGAAGCTGGTCCCATAAGGATATTCCCGCACCCACAAGGGCGGCGAGATGTATGGAGCACGGGGGGGCCAACTCCACCAAAGTTGGGGGCCAGGTCTCTCCCGCAGCCCCGCCTGCCGCCCCCGCGCACCTCTCCTGGCCTGTCCACCCTGTCCCCATGCCTGCCCCCCATGTGGGAATCGGGAATTAGGAGCGCTTCGATCTCGTGGAGTGGTCTGAGCCCCTCTCCCTCCACCCCTGTGCCTGTCCTGGGTGGTCCTTGGCTTTCACTCCCATCCCCAACTCATCCCCAAAAGCAACACGTACTCCAGACATCACCAGACACCCCTCCTGGCGACCACCTGCTCTCCTGGCTCCGCAGAGCAGCACATCTGACGGCCCCATCGACTACTCCTGGGAGAATTCTGCTCCAAAGTATTAAAAATATGCACAGCTCGTTAATTACGTGCACAGTAGCGCAGAATCCCCCCAGGAGTAACAGTCCGTGCACCGGGGAGGTTCCCCAGTATTTACAGTGCTTCAGGTGTCTGCACCGTGGGGACGGGGATGCAAGTTCCAGCACACGTGCTGGTGGGGGTGAAACCAGCCCCACGGCTGCAAGTCTGTACGTCGCTACCTGAACCGGTTTATTTTTTTAAGGCTGCATTTACACTAACCGAAACGTGCCGTTTCCTTTTCTTGTCTTGGGAAGAGGGAATCTCTTGTAGGTGCCACGGATATGGAGCTGGTCTCAGCGCTCACGAAGGGTATGGAGTCCGTCTCAGTGCTCATGAAGGGTATGGAGTCCATCTCAGTGCTCATGGAAGCTCTGGATCTAAGCTCGAACCCAAAGGAATTCTTCGATGGCTCCATAAAGGTGTTTGAGGAGTTCATGGATCTTTTCAAAGACAAAGGACAGGCTGAAGTGGCTTCCACAGTGCAGGTGGAGCTGGAGTCGTTCAAATCCACCAAGCTCGACATCGCAGTCACGGGGGAGACGGGTGCCGGGAAATCGTCCTTCATCAACGCCCTCCGGGGACTGACCGCTGAGGATGACGGGGCTGCCCCAACTGGGGTGACAGAAACGACGACGGAGCCGACTGTTTATCCCTATCCAAACCACCCCAACGTGAGCCTGTGGGACCTGCCCGGCATTGGTGCCCCAGATTTCCAGCCAAACACGTACCTGCGGCAGGTGAAGTTCAAACGCTATGACTTCTTCGTGATCATCGCTTCGGAGCGCTTCAAATGCAACCACGTGGCCCTGGCCCAGGAGATCGAGAGGATGGGGAAGAGGTTCTATTTTGTGCGCTCCAAGGTGGATGAAGACTTGCGCAACGAAGAAAGGGATCACCCTAGAACATTCAGTCAGGAGAGCATCCTGGAGCGACTCGGGATGGACTGCAGGAAACACCTGCAAAAGATAGGGATGAGCAACCCAGAGATTTTCCTTCTCTCCAGTTGTGAATTCACTAAGTATGATGCTCCTGCCCTGGTCAAGACTTTGCAGGATGATCTCCAAGGTCTGCAGAGACTTGCCTTTCTGCTCAGTCTGCCAAACCTGTCTGCAGAAATCATAGAGGAGAAGAAAGCTGCCCTGCAGAAGCTGATATGGCTAATCTCTGTCGCATCGGCTTTAGTCAATGTCATTCCAATCCCGCAGCTCTCTGTTGCTTGTGATATTAGCATCCTGCTGGGATCCATGATTGCCTTCTACAAGCACTTCCGCCTAGATGAGGGCTCCTTGGCTAATCTGGCCAGGCAGACTGGGAAACCGATAGCAGAGTTGAAGGCCGTTATCACATCTCCTGGGGCAAAAGAAATAAACAGAGATGTTGTAATCAAAATGCTTCTAAAGGAGGAGAAGGGTTTACCTAGATTAACTGCAAATCTGCCAGTGCTTGGTCCCATGTTAACTGCGGGAATCTCTTTTTTAACCACCTACTTCATGCTGTTGAGCTTTCTCGATAAAGTGGCTGAAGATGCCGAAAGGGTTCGGAAGACTGCTTTGAAGGAAGACGGGAAAAAGCGTAAATGATCAGCAGACCTGTTCATGAATAAGAGACCCAATCCCAGCTGGAGATTGGGCCACCTCACCCCCAAATGTTAAAAATCAAGCCGAAAAGAAGCGGCTCTTTCATTCTTTAATTTCCCCCGGTGAGTCGGGTTTCTAGTCTTTCTGTTGGACTTGTTAGGATAGCCAAACCCGTTTGTCTAAAACGGGAAAACCAACAAAATAAACCAAGATCCTCAACTAATGTAAATCAGTGTCGCAAACAACTTTGCCATCAGCTGCTGTCTCTTTCGTACCTGGCCTGCACGACCATCCAGCCACTGCCTACAGCAGACTCTGTGCACCTTCTAAACAATGCCTTTGATCTGAAGAAGTGCAGACCATGGCTAGTTTGTGTGCTAGCAGCCGGGTTACAGATGAATGAGGGTGCTGGAACAAGCATTTCCCAGCAATGTCACTGCAAGCATTCAGAAATCACCACTCAGGCCCCTCAAAATCATGAGATTTTTAAAAATGTTGTTTTTTTTTTCATTTGCCTCCTGTTTTGAGGGTTTGCTGGTCACCGTGTGCTGCTGTTCTGCACAGCCCCTGAAAACCAGGGCCAGAAACTTCTTTTTTTAAATAACACCTGAGAGTCTCCCATGACCACATGATGCCAGGAAGCTTTACAGGGAACTACCAATAACTGCACGAATCACAAGAGTTTGCAACGCTCATATAGCGACTGTAACCAAGCTGTGTTTTGCATCAGGTGATCCGAGGAGCAATTTAATCATAGCATGATCCCAACAGCCCGGGTGAGCCCTTGGACAATCCAGCGTTTTGCTACGAGTTGGATATAGAAGCTAAATTCTATGTCGGTGGTTTTCAACCTTTTTTTCTGGTGACCCCATTGAAGAGCATTGTTGATGCCCGCGACCCAACAGAGCTGGGGATGAGGGGTTTGGGGTGTGGGAGGGGCTCAGGGCTGGGGCAGAGGGATGGGATGCACAGGTGAAGGCTGTGGGGTGGGGCTGGGAATGAGGGTTCAAGGTGTGGGAAGGGGCTCTGGGCTGGGGCAGGGGGTTGGGGTGGAGGGGGGGTCAGGGCTCTGGGCTGGAGGTACAGGCTCTGGGGTGGGGCCAGGGATGGGGGGATTGGGTGCAGGAAGGGGCTCCAGGTTTTGGGGGGGCTCAGGTCTGGGGCAAAGGATTGGGGGGCACGGGTGGGGCACGGGCTTAGCTCCGGGGGCTCCCGGTCAGCGGCGCAGCAGATGTGCTAGGGCAGGCTTCCCCACTGTCCTGGCACCGGGGACCGCGCTGCACCCGGAAGCGGCCAGCAGCAGGTCTGGCTCCTCGGTGGATCTGCGCAAGCAGGTGCTCAGGGTAGGGGCAGCGCATGGAGCCCCGTGGTTCCCCCACCTAGGAGCCGGACCTGCCGCTGGCCACTTCCGGAGCTCAGCGTGGTGTCAGAACAGGAAGGGACTAGCCTGCCTTAGCCGGGCAGCACCACCCACGGGACCTTTAACGGCCCAGTCGGCAGTGCTGACCAGAACCGCCGCGACCCAGCGCCTTCCGTTCCGCGACCCAGTGCTGGGTCGTGACCCACGGTTTGAAAACCACTGCCCGATGTAATCTATGGCCAGTGCAACTGCATTCATGCTGTATCAATAATTAGTGTGCTTGTTTCTTTATGATTACTGCTCGTGCATATATAGTCGTCTCATGTAATAAATTCAATTATAACCTGAATTAAGCCTCTGTGTAGATCATGACGACAATGGTCAGAGAGAAAAACCCAGTGGTAGGGAGTCCCATGGGTTAACCCCAGTAATTCCCATTGGCAGGGAGTCCCACTGGTTAACACTGTTAATGCCCGGTGGCAGGCAGTCCCGTGGGTTAACCCCTCTAATTCCCAGTGGGAGGAGTCCCACTGTTTAACACTGCTAATTCCCAGTGACAGAGAATACCACTGGTTAACCCCACTAATTCCCAGTAGCAGCGAGTCCGGTGCGTGAACCCCACTAATTCCAAGTGGCAGGAAGTCCCACTGGTTACACCACTAATTCCCAGTGGCAGGGAGTCCCGTGGGTTAACCCCACTAATTCCCATTGGCAGGGAGTCCCTCTGGTTAACACAGTTACTGTCCAGTGGCAGGGAGTCCAATGGGTTAAAACTGTTAATGCCCAGTTGCAGGGAGTCCTGACTGCAACAAAATGCTTAGGCAACCCAGGGATGAGGGGTTTGGGGTGCAGGAGGGGGCTCTGGGTTGCAGGGGGCTCAGGGCTGGGGCAGGGGGTTGGGGCTTGGTGGGTGTGTGTGTGTGCGTGAGTGAGTGCTGCCCCCTGCTGGAGGGGCTGAGCCCTGCATTGCGTGTGTGTGTGTGATAACTGCACACTGTCACCCCCTGACTGCATGGCAACATTCAGAGCTGTGTCCACCAGGAAATGGGCTGGGGGGCTGGGGGCCTACACTCCAGGCATGGCAAGCCAGCCTGGGCGATGTTGCTCAGCCCCCTCCAGCTGGGCTGGAGTCTCTGGAGTGAAAAGTTACTGTGACTCCTGGTGACGAAGGCGTGCCCCTGACAGCAGGTCTCCTCGTTCCACACGTGCAAACTGCGGGCTCCCCCACTTTGCAAGCAGCTCGGCCCTGTCCCTGCCTGGCTCCCGCACTTGGGCCCTGAGTGACGGGCTCCCGCCCACAGGCCAGGGGTGCAGCCGCCCTGCTCCTGCGGCAGGTCTCGGCAGCGTTTGCCGCCGTGCTACCGCCTCCGAAGGATGGCTCCGGCCTTTCATCTCTGACCGAAGCCCAGGGCCATTCTGGGCAACGACTCCGCAGCCGCGAGGGCTCCCGTCTCCTGGGGCTCATCCCCTCCCCTCCCCATTCAGCAGCTGCAGGAAACCGGCAGGTGAGCTGCCCAGATGCCCAGGCGGAGGGGCCAGCAGGGCACAGACCACACCTAGCTTTGCTCTGGCTTCGTGGCCAACGTTACCTGCCCTATCTCCCAGGCCTCTCGCTGCCTGGCCAACGTCAGCAGTGGGGTGAGAGGAGCAGCAGCAGCCCCCCACACGAGGCGGAGCTGATTCTGGCAGTGAGAGGGGACTACTTTGGAGAACTCTGCCAGAGAAACCCCTTCCCTTGGCCCTAGACAGCTCGAGGGGCGCCTGGCCTTGGGCACCTCCTGGGCTGGTTTACCTGGAGCGGGTGTCCCTGTGCCAGGCTGTGTGGACACTCCTGCCTGGGAAGCAACGTGGCTAGAACGGAGTTAGCTAAATTGGGTTTGTTACCAGCCATCCCTGACTCCACCCTGAGCCAGGTTTGTTCCAGAGTCAGACCATCCACACAGACCTGCAGCAAAATACCCGCATCACCACTCGGCATCCCGTTTAGGGAACCGTCTGCCTCTGCGCAGGCCAGGCTGATTCTGCCCCGCTCCTGCGCACTCCCCCAGCGGAACACCCTCCCATCTGTCTGCATCCGGCCAGCCGGTCACCGCTGCTGAGCGGGCCGCGAGTTACGGGAAAGGCCCTGATAAGGCAGCTGCAGTTTCCTGTCTTCAGGAAACGAGGCCGAGCTCTGAGAATGCGCCGCATGGTTCACAGTGCGGCAGCGTCTGCCCAGCCCCACGGGCTCCCAGGGGCACGTTGCCCGGGTCTTCGCTCTTCTGGCTCCCCACTGAACACCGCGTTCGGGCTCCTTGCCCTCGGTTTCAAAGCCCCGCATGACACTGGCCCCACCTGCCTGAGATACCGGCTTTCTTCCCCCTCCGCCATGACTTCCCACAACAGCTGCTAACTGACGGGGGAGACCGACAACTGGGTTTGACAGAGTCCTCACAGGAACCGGACCCAGGCGATGCAGCTCGCTGGCACGGGAAACCCCAGCCTGGCTGCCTTCAAAGCCGATGCAAACCCCGTCACTGTGGCCAGCACCACACTCCTCTGCTGCCTGGCACAGCGGGCTCCGATCTCAGTCAGGATTCATATGCACTATTATACAACAAATAATAAATAATGATTAAAACCAAACAACTCCTGTTTTTCCCATACTTCCCCTGCCTCCTTCAGTGCCCGGGCCAGATACGCAAGGGGAAGAGTTATGGTTGCATAGGCTACCATAAATATGCCTTTTCCTAACTTTTGAGTGCTTGACGTTGCCACCATAAGTAATCCGCTGTCGGCGTAGGATTTTCCAGAGGTAGCAATAACTAGGAGCTGAAATGTTTCTTCTTCTCTGCAGTAGCTTGAGCACCATGGCTCTCGATGGGTTCAAAGCCGCTGTCTATCAAGGGAGCCTAACAGAAGCTATTTCTAATGTGCAGGATTTTTACAGCCACACCCTCAGCATTGCCGTTACAGGGGAGTCAGGGTCCGGGAAGTCCTCCCTCATCAACGCCATGCGGGGGCTACATGCTGGTGATGAAGGTGCTGCTGAAACCGGGATGCTGGATGTCATGAGGGAGCTGATGGCTTATCCAGATCCCGTCCTTCCAGGAGTCACCCTCTGGGACCTACCAGGGGTGGGGGTGTCCTATTTCCCTCTAGACATCTACTGTGAGCGGTTCAATTTGAGCCAATTTGAGTTCTTCATCATTGTCGGCTCCCAGCGCTTCTGCTCCGACCACGCCAGGCTGGTCCGTGAGATCCAGAGACTGGGCAAGAGGTTCTACTTTGTGCGCTCCAAAGCCAACGTGGACCTGGACACTTCCAGGAGGCAGCGTTCCTCCAGCGACAATGGGGAGAGGATCCTGCAGCAGATCAGGGAGGACTGCAGGAGAGGCCTGGGAGCAGAAGGAGTGGGCCACCCACAGGTTTTTGTCGTGTCCAGCTGGGAACCCAACCACTACGATTTTCCCCTCCTGAGGCAAACTTTGCAGACGGAGGTGCAGAGCCTGAAGAGACACGCCTTCCTGCTTAGCCTGCCTGCTATCGCCTTGCCCATCGTCAAGCAGAAAAAAGCCACCCTGAAGGGGCAGATTTGGGAAACAGCCCTTTTCTCATGTCTTCTCACTGCCGTTCCTGTCCCAGGCCTCTCTTTCTTGTGCACCTTCTTCATCTTCAGGAAACACCTGTTCCGATACTATAGCAGCTTCGTCGTGGACGACAGGTCCCTCTCTGCTCTCGCCCAGCAGGTTGGGAAGCCCATAGGGGAACTGACGGCCGTGATGACGTCCTTGGGAACGACCCTCATGATGGCTCTGAAGCTGCTGTCGGACTCGGTGGGGGCCACCGTGATGGTAGCAGAATATTCATGGAAGCGCCTCCCCGTATTTGGTGCCATGGTGCCCGGAGGGGTGGCGCTGCTTACCACGTTCTTCGTGCTGCAGCAGTGTTTGGCCTCAGTAGCTGACGATACCCAGCGGGTTCTGAGCAAAGCGCTGGAGGCAGAAGAGGAAACACCATCTAGGATTGGATGTCGTGTCGGATGGGCCTGCTGCTGTCTAGCAGACATGGTCTTGGACTTCAAGCAGGAAAGCTTCATGCTTCTCCATCCAGGAGTCCCATGTCCAGTCCCCATAAACCATTTAGGGGTGTTGTTGCACATGGGTCAAAGTGCCCATAACGAAGGAGACAGACTCAGCGACAGCTCAACGCTCCTGAGGTTTCGCCCCACAAGGAAGGAGGCAGCTTCCTTCTTGACATTCATACAACAAAAATAAAATTATACTGAATCCAGTTCTACCTACCTGTGTCCCTCTGTGCTCCTCCATCACTTCGGTATATGAGCACCTTACACACATCAACGGACCGGATCCCCACACTGGGGCAAATCGGCTGTAGCTCCATTGGGGTCAATGGGAGAGACCCCCAGCTGGGGTCAATCGGCCGTAGCAGAATGGGAGTCAATGGGGCCAGATCCTCAGCTGCGGGCCATTGCTCCATTGAAGCTTAGAAGCTGAAGGTCTTGTCCTCATGGGAAACTTTTTCGGTAGAACGTAAGCTGTGAATTTGAACGGACAGAATGACCCTGGTGTAACCTCCTGTGTGGACGCTCTCACTCCGGCAGAAGAGTGGCTTTTTTCAGTTTTGTTTATGTCACTTGGGAGAGGGTTTAAGCTGAGCCAGAGAATGTCACTGTTCTACCGGCACAAGAAGACAAGGCAAGGTCTTGAAGACAAGGCCTTGAAGACAAGGCCTAAAAGCCTCATTAAAAGTCAATCCACCCGAAGCTCACCAATCATGTGGGACGATCCTGCCCTGTGAATCTTGTCAGTTGCCTTTAGCTGCAATGCTGGGGCAGTGGGTTTGCTGTGTTTGCTTTTTCATGCTGATCAGTATCGTCTTGTTGTTTCCTTGCGCTTTTTCTCGGCCTGTTTGTTGAATCTACGTATTGCCAATAGTCTTCCGCTTAGATTGAAAGCCCTTCAGGGCAGGGCCTGTCTCTTTGTTATATCTTCGTACAGTGCCTGGAACAATGGGGCCTTGGTTTCTAGATGCTACCGTAATACAAACATCTCACAATAATTTGCCGGGTATCATGTGCCATCGCTGTATCAACAGGCTGACAGTCAGTATCGATTCTAATCACGTCGTCTTGCAATCATGTGATGCTTTATTGACTCATTCACTCCCTGACGCAGATCATGTTTAACGTAATAACGCCATTAGATTCCACACCCGCCAGCCAGTGCCTATCCACATTTACCTTCATTCACTAATCTTGGTATTTGTTGTGTTTGTGTGTGTGTGTGAGAGAGAGAGAGAAAGAGAGAGATTGTGCGCGTTTGTCTGTAATCATGAATCTCAGATGCTGTGTGTTTTTCCATGTGTAAAAGTGAGTGTTGGACTCTGGCTGTGTGTAATCATGAGTTTCATATTGTGTGTGTGTGTCTGTGTGTGATCAGGAGTCTTGTACTGTCTGTGCGCATCTGTGTGTGTGATAGCAAGTCTTGGATCACGTGTGTTTAATGATGTCTTGGATTGTGTGTCTGTGTAAGTCAAGGGTGGGAAAACTACGGCCTGGGGGCCACAACCGGCCCTTCAGATGTTTTAATCTGGCCCTTGAGCTCTCGCTGGGGAGTGGGGTCCGGGGCTTCTCCCACCCTGCATGTGCCATGGCTCCGCACGTCTCCTGGAAGTAGAGACATGTCCCCGCTCCGGCCCTACACTTAGGAGCAGCCAGGGGGCTCCGTATGCTGCCCCCACCGCAAGCGCCACCTGTGCAGCTCCCATTGGCCAGGGTTCTTGGCCAATGGGAACTGCAGGGGCAGCACCTGCAGACGGGGCAGAGTGTGGAGCCGCCTGGCCGTGCCTCCACATAGGAGCCGGAGTGGGGACATGTCGCTGCTTCCGGGAGCTGCTTGAGGTAAGTGCTATCTGGAGCCTACACCTCTGACCAACTCCTGTGCCCCTTCCCTAGCCCTGATCCCCCTTCTGCCGTCTGAGCCCCTCAGTCCCCAGAGCACCATCCTTCACCCCCAACCCCTCATCACCAGCCCCACCCCAGAGCCTGCACCCCCAGCTGGAGCCCTCTCCCACCCCAACCCCCTGCCCATCCAGAGTCCCCTCCTACACCCTGAACTCCTCATTTCTGGCCCACCCCAGAGCCTTCACCCCCTCCCACACCCCAATCCCCAATTTTGTGAGCATTCATGACCTGCCATATAATTTCCATACTCAGATGTGACCCTCGGGTCAAAAACGTTTGCCCACCCCTGGTGTAAGTCTTGGACACTGTGTGTGTGTGTGTAATCCTGAGTCCTGGATTGTGTGTGTAACTGTGAGTCTTGGATCATGTGTCTGTGTGTGAGATAGTGAGTCTGTGCGTGTGTGGGTGTGCATCTGGGATTATGTGTGTGTGTTTGTGATGACTGGGCTGATTTCCCCTGTGTTTAATTCTAGCAAGGGTCGTGGGGCTATCAGAAGCCGCACCCACCCTCCTACGGGCCCTAGAGTCGTTTGGAAAATGGGGTTTGGTTGGGGGGGGTATTTCTTAGAATATTCCATTTTTTTTTGTCATCCAACTGAAAAATGTTCAGCTGAAAAACCCGTTTTTTTTAAAGCGTAAATATTTTTTTTGTGGCAGGACCCACCAACCAGGGCTGGAGACCCTAAAGGGTTAAAGCAGCTTCCCCTCCCCGCTACGCCTGGGGATGCCAGGGCAGCTCTGCTTCCTGAACAGAGCAGTTGTTGGAAAGATACCGGGCACCAGGACTGAAACTTGGACTTGCGGGGAGGACGAGGGGGGAATAAACGCAGGAGTAAATGCATTTAACCCTGGAATTAAAGGAGACGCATCTTTCGCTGTGCGGCATAGCAGCTCCCTAAACCACTTCCCAGGATCCAGCCACTAGAGGGGGGAAAGACACACACTGGTAGGTTTCAGAGTAACAGCCGTGTTAGTCTGTATCCGCAAAAAGAAAAGGAGGACTTGTGGCACCTTAGAGACTAACCAATTTATTTGAGCATAAGCTTTCGTGAGCTACAGTTCACTTCATCGGATGCATTCTGTGGAAAGTGTAGAAGATCTTTTTATACACACAAAGCATGAAAAAATACCTCCCCCCACCCCACTCTTGAACGGACTGCCTGACCCACAGACCGTGTGGCCTGGTGGATCTGGGGTCCCCACCCTCAAGGGCACTCAGTCTGAGACCTATGGCTGTGCTGGAAGCAAATAATAATTATTATTGATCCACTGACTGATTATTGGGGTGCAGAAGAGTGCACCTCGTCTTCTGGTGGAGACTCAGATGGGCTGGGGCCAGGGGAGCAGAGGGGCAGGGGGAGGCTGTAGGGGCCCACACAGGTGGGGTGCGGGGATCGGAGGGGCAGGGGGAGGCTGTGGGCGTCACACAGGTGGGCGCAGGGGGGGCCACACAGGGAAGAGGGGGGGAGGCCGTGCGCCAGCAGGTGGATGTGACATTTCTCATCTGAGCCTCCCCGTTTCTTGCCGCATGATATAATGCCCCCTCTCCCCAGGCTGATCTTTTGCGGGGGGTGGCTGTATCTCGGGAGCTGCTGGCTTAAACAACCCCACGTTTGGAGCTCTAACCCTCTCCACGGCCCCACCCAGGGGACAGCGATTTTCTAGCGGGTCCCATTCAGCACGTGGATATTAGACAAACTTAGAGGCTCTGGCCCGTCAACAGGAAGCAGGGCCTCAGACACATAACCAGAGCTCGAGCAGGGCTTTCGCTCAGCTAGTGTAGGTGACATAACCTCTCTGCAGCAGCTCTCCCGTCCCGGGGGGCCTCTCCCCACTCTGTCCCCCACCACAGGCAGGATCTTCCTCTTTCATTTGTTTTGCTCAATAAAACAAGCCGGTGAGAGAGAGAGAGAGAGAGAGAGAGTCCCATTTATATCAGAACTCCTGGCTCTAGCTTTGGGAGGAGGGTGGGGTCTAGTTGTGCTGGATGCTGCCCGGACACACAGTGAGAGTCAGCCCCTGTACTGAAGAGCTTACAGACCGCACAGACAATGTGGGGTGAGGGGAAACTGAGGCACGGGGTGGGTGGAAGGATGCCACTTGCACGAGGGCAGCAGGAGAACCAGGACTAGCACCCAGGAGTCCTATTTATGTCTCTCTACAAAGAAAGAAAATTCCTAGGAACTGACTTGGGAAGTTGTCAGGGTCTGAAAGCAGGGGGTGAAGAACAGAAGACGTTTGGGAAGGTCAGCTCCAGCGGGCACGTCCGGGTGGCCCGAGAAGAGGGAGGCTTCGGCCGCATCGGTAAGGTTGCTGGACCCAGACTGACCCGGTGGTTCTGTCCATCTCGAGCGCCGAGCCCGCACGGCGTCACCTCCCCACGAGGAGATGGCAGCCACAGAATGTGACTTGCTCAGTCTCTGGTGATGCCCCAGGAGAAACGAATCAGAGGGTACGGATTTTATTTTTGTTATTAATATTGGGGGGTCTCACACTTCGGTGCACCCATTGGCAGAGAGCATTGCCCACCCCAGGGGCTTGCCTCCATGCCCTTCCTCATGCCAGGGGCTCTCTGTGCCCCACATCCCCCTTCCTCTACATGCCAGGGGCTCTGTGTGTGACCCTCCCCTTCTGCCCCCCATGCCAGATGTCAGTGTACCGTTGTGATAACTGAGCCTACAAATTTACCCTCATTGTGAGCCCAGCCGTAAAAAGTGAGTGAAAGATTATATATGTCCCTAGAACAACCAATGTGGCTGGGAAAAGTGGGAGGTGAGGGGGGACAGGACAACGGAACAAGCCCAAAGAAAACAGCTGCCTGATACAAGTCAAGGGCAGCATTAAGATCATGTCTGGTAACCACAAACAGCGCAAGCCTCCAAATCAATGCACCACAACTGGATGTCGGAAATGAGGGCTAATCGGTGGATGAAATATCGAGGGGATGGGCTGTTCCACCCACCGCTCCCTTTTGGGGTCCTGAATGAAGGAGATTTGGGGGTGAGACTTGGCTTGTTTGACGGCAGCTGCTGGCTGGGAGGTGGGTGGACCGGAAGGAGTGAGTTTCACCATCGTAGTTTCCATCCCCACAGTCTCCTGGGGCTCTGGGCTCCACCATGACGCCGCTGGGGGAGGTCGAGGGGCGGGGGGGGAGGTGGAGGGGGGGGCAGCAGCTCTTGGTTCTGCACCTACCTTGTGTGTCCTTGAGTGAGTCAGCGATATCGGCGAATGAAGCCTCAGCTTCACTTCCTCCCATGCTGACCTCCCAAGCCCCAGCTGCATGGGGCTGAC